CTTTTGATCTGATATTTCTGGAGCAGGAAGCCAAAACAAAGCTAAACCGAACCTGGAAAAAGACAGCTACTTATTCTTTAGTGCAGTTGAATTACAACTGTTTCGAGCCTTTAAGTCATTTGATGTAATCTGTTACTCTCTCTTCTGTAATCATTTTTCCTGAACCTCTTTGGGGTTTTCTGTGGGCAGGATGTGCTTTCTGTTTATACAAGGCAAGGTACTCTTTCTTCCTTCAAATTGTACTTGCAGAAATTGATTTCTCTGTCGTAGCTTTGATCACAAGGACCTACAGTACTTGTTCCTGGCACTCAAATCGAATCCCTTAATTGTTTTATACTTGACATATCTTCATTAACTGAGAGGATCTTTGAGCCAAAGATTCTGTCAAGTTTGGTAGACAGATATGTGTTTGTAGGTATACGTACAGAGTGTGCATAGATATAGATGGCTAGGTAGACAGACAGATGCATCTGTACATAACATGAAAGGAGAAGATGATCTAATGAAAAAGAGTTGATGAGATCTCTAACATACATCAGTTCCATTAATGCAGAAACATTCTTTAATCTTTTTCTTTTAATTTTAGCTCATGCAGCTTTTCTTAAAAAAAAAAATCAAACCACTCAAAAGCAGAAATGATGGTGGGGAAGTTTCACATACATATGGTTTGCTCCCCACATGATCATTATTCTCTTAAAGCTTCCAATTGCCAGTATTAAGCCTAGTGCTAAGTCTGCTCTTCTACATTTTTATGTGCTGTTTTTCAACTGCATATGATTCCTGTTAACTAAAATGCTAAACTTTAATCTGCTCACTTAAGCTGTGCAAACTTTGTAATGGCCTTTATATAAATCTGCTTTCTCAAACATATCTATTTTTTCTGCTTATATTGCTATATTTTTAGCTAAAGCAATTATAGCTGTATTTATTTCTATTAATCCACTTGGTAGACATCAGAATCTCAGCCTCAGCTGTCTAATTTTTCAAAAAGATTATTTTAATTTTTAAAAAAATTAGAAGCTGACAGGTGCAAAGCAAAGCACCATTCCCAGGCATCATATTTATTTCCAATAGTGCCTCTGAGCTACCTTAAGGTTCAAAAATGTTCCTAGGAAATAAAATTGCTGGGGAGATACAGTTCAGTGCTTTGTTTGTAAAACTGTCCTGTTGTCCATGGAGTGAGGGGGGGGAGGAGAGAAAAGTAACCCAAATGATAGGAAGCTAGTAAATGGATATTTTATGACTGGATTAAACTCTAAAACAATCATTTTATTAAAGCGCACATTCTATCATAGCAGCCATTTTGTAACAGCAGGCACCTCAAGCTGTCAGCATCCCATCTACTGTATTTATTTTACAACATGCAGAAACCATTCAATATTTTAACTCTGAATTATTACAAATTATTCCGATTAATCCCTATCCCCCAAATTTGCCTATTCCTGACCCATGATGAGAGGTGTGGTGAATCTAGATAAGCAGTGGCTCCACAGGGGACAAATTATCTCAAAAATGGCAATTCAGCCCAGGTGGAGAAACATCTGGGTGAAACATTTCAAAGCAATTCTGCCTTAATTAACACAATAGAAAGGAAGCTAGGAAACTCTTATTAAAGATTCCAAGTTTCTGAATTTGCCCCTAAACTGCAGTACAGGTACATTCATGAAATCTGTGTCATTCACCTTTCCTTGGTCTTTTGTGTCCTTTTTGTTTCCCTTGTCTTTGCCAGTTATACAATCCTCGGTCTTTGACACTTCTATGAATTTAAATGAAATTTCTAGTAGTTCTTCTTGGACCACAGTCTTCACTTAACAACTTAACAAATTCTCTTGATTTGTAACATTGCCTGTTTGTTTGTTTTTTTAATTTCATGTCCAGATCAAATCTTAAACTGCCAAAATGAGGCTACCATTTTGGTTTTATCATTGGCCAGAAACAGATAACTTTCGGTGCATTCTACTGGTAGTAACAGACCAACCAATGGGCCAGACTCTCCATCTCTCCACATTCACACAGTGTGTTGTTATCCACCAGCAGCCCGCACTTTAGCATATTGGTCTTATCCTTAGGGACTCACACCTCAGCCTTTTCAATGTCCTCCAAGTGACATAGAAGAGATCAGATCCCTCAGCCATGTTCTCTTCTCGGATTATTCCTTGTTCCATAAATTATTTCCTCCATCTTCTAATTCAGTTTTGCTCCTACATCCTTCAAGAATATTTGTTCATTGCCTGTTATGTGATTTTTTTTTAATTTTAGGAAAAAATTAAATACAGGTTTTTTTGGTCAAGATTAAATTGCTAAGATGCTTGCTAACCTCTGTACTCAACTTGCCATAGAAAAGGAAGGAGAAAGAATCTGGGAAAGAAACAAGAATTTCAAGAAGCCATCCATAGACTGTGACACCCAAGGTCATCCAAAGCAGGTGTCTTGCAGAGAAGTGGACCGTTCCCATAACAAACAGAAAGAATGTGATTGGGCAACATGAAGACATGGTGGGTGGGGGGGGGGTATGAAAAGCTATTGTTAACTAACCAGAATTTTGCACAGGAAAACTAGAGTTGATTTTACTTCTTTAGTGCCAGGATGTGTATTCAATAAAGTTTATCTCTTATGGCACCTCAAGACTGTAGAGTTTCTTCAATATTAAATTTCTACATGTGGAATTTGAGCCTTTCTATTGAATTTAGGACTTTCTTGAATCTTTGAAAAAAAATAGGGTAGCCAAGGGAATACCTATTAAAATTATATTCCCAATGCAGTCTATAACATATATCATTCATATTATTTATTTATTTATTTATTTATTTATAAATTTTATCGGCTGCCCATCTTACCATAGGGTAACTCTGGGTGGCTTACTGCTACACATACAGTTAAAACATTAAAAGTTAAAATCAGACATTAAGACCAAGGACACATGGGGAGGGCGGAGACAAAGTGAGGGGGAGATGGAATCTGTTATTACCCAATCAAATACCTCCGTTATGTTGATCCCACACTGGGGCCCCAAGCCGACTGGCACAGCCACGTCTTTAGGCCCTTATGAAAAAATAGGGTTGGGGCCAACCTCACATCATGGGGCAAGGTGTTGCAGAGGGCAGGAACAACAGCAGAGAAGGCCCTCCACCAGCAGGAATAATTGGGCTGACAGGACCTGCAGGATGCCTCCTCTGCTGGAATGAGTGGTACAGGTCAATCCCAGTGGGGTGAGACAACCCCTCAAGTAACCTGGACCCATGCCATGAAAGGCTGTAAAGCACCAATACCTTGAATTGCACCCATAAGTAGGCTGGTAACCAATGCAGCTCATGGAGCAGTGGTGTTACAGTGGCCATTCTTGGGGGCCACAAAACTACCTGTATTGATGGTTCTGCCATATGTTATAGTACAAAATTGAATTTCTCATCTGATTCCTCACTTGGAGGGAAGTCAGATGAGTGCAGTGGCTGGTACAGGTACTGTAGAATTGTAAGTTGAACATACGCATGTCATCCCCGCATAGTTTGGTGAAAGCACAAGGGTGTATGTCTCACAAGAGCTTTGGGGGTTTAGACTGATACAACAAATAGCACCCACAACCTTCTTGTGAACACTTCTTTCCTCTTTTTATTAGCAAATAAAAGGCAGGTTACTAGGCTCATTTTCAGAAATGCAAAGCAATTCAGGCAGTATTTATTATAGTAGCTAAACAAGCTGGCTTCCTTTTCTCTGCTCTCCTACCCCCTCCAGCTTTTCTGATAAGCGATAATGAAGTGGCAATAAAACAGTGAACCAAAGGCTTGATTCATGTGTGTCTGTCCAAGCATTTTAAAGTTAAAACTCTCTCTCCTGGGTAAAGCATTCAGCCTACTGCACTGATTAAATGTGATGATTGCTTTTCCAGGCTCCTACTTAGAGTAAAGGAAGAGGGATAATTATGCAGGGGCTGGCAGGACACGGTTTTTCACTCTTTCAGCCATCTGCATCAGTTAGAAAAGTCCCTTGGTGTTGTCTCCTATTGATGTCTTTGGGCCATCTAATGTAGAACTGCAACTCTTTTCCATGATCTCTGAAACTGGCCTTGGAACCAATCTTTCTTCATCAGTTCAAAACAACAGAGTCCATTTTAAGAGACCAGTCCTTTTTTTTTTTGTCTTTCCCAGAAATCTGTCCTTTGAATCCCCAACCTCCTCCTCCTCCCCCTCCTCTTCCTCTTCCTCCTCCTCCTCTCTCTTCCCGGCACAGCAGCAGCCCTCTTTCCTGTGAAGAAAGTTTCAGCTTCTCCCCATCCAAGTTTCTATGGTCAACTAAAAAAGAAATAGATATGTTTGCAGTAATATCAGTTAATGATATGTCACCAGTTTTTCGCTATTAGGTTGCACAGTGGAATTCAGTTTTCACTTGAGCTACAGAAAACTCCGAAAGAATTTTTCATGTTCTTAAATGAGCACAAACACCTGAAGATGTTTAAAAATGCCCGGCATTTCTCACAGACAAGTGATTAGGTAGAGCTTCTTTGTATTTGCCCAGTTTCTGTTTGATGATGTCGTAGAGAAGACTGTATGTGGAAAAAGTCAAAGGGGAGGCAAATAATACCAATATGAAAGAGGTAAAGTTTGCAGCACAATGACACAACATTGCTTTTGTTGTGTATTTTTTGCTTTTAATAAGAAAAGATAAACAACAGGAATTCTGGGAAGGAGAGAAAAAAAGATTACTGGTTTCCCAACTATCTTCTTCTTCATCATCATCATCATTATTGTCTGTCTGTCTGTCTGTCTGTCTGTCTCATCCTGTCTATTTATCTGTCTGTCCATCCATCCATCCATCCATCCGTCCATCCGTCATGTCTCTCTCACTATCTCTATCATCTCTGTCTATCTGTCTACCCATCTACCTATATCTACCTATTTGTTGTTCTATTGCCATTATCCTTTTAATGAAAGAAGTTAAACCTGTAAGATACCTCTGATCATAACAAAATAAGAAACTAAACTATTGTGTTCTTCTTTCTCCCCTCTCTCCTTTTACTAAAAAAAAAAAAAAATCAGCTGAAGGTGCTTGTGGAGGAACTCTTCGTGGGACCAGTGGAATTATTTCAAGTCCTCACTTTCCTTCAGAATATGACAATAGTGCAGACTGCACGTGGACCATTCTGGCAGAGCCAGGAGACACCATCGCTCTGGTTTTCACAGATTTCCAACTGGAAGAAGGCTATGATTTCTTGGAAATCAGCGGCACTGAAGCCCCATCCATATGGTAACTTAACACACAAGAGCAAACAGTCTCACTGCTTTATAGATGATCTCTCTCTCTCTCTCTCTCTCTCTCTCTCTCTCTCTCTCTCTCTCTCTCTCTCTCTCTCTCTCTCTCTCTCTCTCTCTCTCATCAGTTCTTCTATCCCTTTAATCAAAAGTGTGCCTTAATTTCTGCTACTACATGAAACATTATACAAATGCTCCACTGTGTCTTATTTGGGGAAAAGTATGAAAATTAAGGAAGGGGGGAAAAACAGAGGGGAATCTTATAAAAAAAATGCTGAACTTGATGAAATGGTAGGATAGTGCCCTCTAATGGATGGATCAAAAATTATTCCATTTTGTGAGTCATCTTAACCTTTTAATAAATTGCACTTCAAAGTATTATTATAATGGAATGAGTTGCTTATTTTGATAAAAGAGAACATGAAAGAGAGAACAGATTCTACTGTAATCCAGGGATCTATTGTGATTGTACTGCTGCCAGCATGAAGTTAAACGTGGTGAAGAATTAGCAGCTGTTATTGGGGAATATATTGAAGCGTTAAGCAATTTTTTTTAAGCTGGTGGAATTTCTACAAATAATTATATGTTTTTAATTATATGTATGTCTTTTCTACAGCTTATTCTTATTATTAGATAATCTATGCTTACCAGTAGCATTTAATATCAAGAATAAGCTTATCTAATAGACTTAACTGACATTTTTATTTGTAATTAAGTTTAACTATGAATGTTTACCATACTACAGCAGATATACCCTAAATATATTGCATATATTATAACAGAACTAAAATTAGATTGGTCGTTTGTGGATTTGTTTAGTATGAAAACCTGAACATCTTAGTTGAAAGTAGTGAAAGTGACAGCAAGTACTTTTATTCCAGTTACTTTGTCCAGTTGTTCTCAAATATCATGCTGTTGCAGTAATGGTCACTCCAAAAATAGAAGTATTTTTTTCTATGGATAATGTACTGAGTTAACCATAGAGTATTTTAACAAAACCTTATATATATATATTTTTATCCATACAAAAGAAGCAGCAGTGGCTTTTGCTTTAGTGCTATATGTCGACATTGTCTTTGTGTAAATTTTCCATTCCGCCCACATTCTCTCTGCACAAAAACTACATTTATGCTTTGTGGTTATCCAGAGCTCACCCAGTGATTTTTAACTGGGGAAAAAAAATTGCATATTGTGATGGTGAATAGTAAGCCAGAATCCCAGGAGGGTGCATTTCAGAGATACAAGGCACTCAGTTCAGACACATACTTTAGTTAGGCAAGATTCTGTCTATGGGTGAAGAACAATTAAGAAATTTGCTTGGAAGAATGATAGTGCGGCCTTCTTGGATTTTTGGAGTCTTGTAGGCACATAAATATATAAACTTACTGCCATAGCAATCCAGAGAGGAATAAGGTAATTCATTGCATTTTCTTTAGTTACTCAGAATGAAATGCTTGGGGGTTCAACTTTGTCACTTGTTCCAAGTTCTCCACAAAAGTTCTTCTCCAATTTGAAGAGCTTATTGCGTTGGAATGGAAAGAATGGCACTGACTAGCAAAAAGGATGAAAATACACATTCACCTATTGTATTGAAATTACTACTACTTGATGCTTGTAACTTTATGAAAATGCCTTGATAAAGAGAAGAGAAAAAGTGCAAGGATTAGATTCGGTGACTCTGCCCTCAAATCAGAATGATTCTTTGAAATTGGCTGAGAAATTGAGCAATATTGAAGCTATTGTCTTTACTTGAATGATTTTAGAACTGTCTTTTCTTTTATGGAAAAGAGAAGGGAGTTAATCTATATGCTTTTTATCACCCAAAGTCACTTCCCATTCTTTCACAAAGGGCATCATTACTTCTGGCCACTCTCTCTTCTTTCCACAAAACCTCAAAACCTGCAGTTTGAAACTTTCCACACATTATTTCCACTGTAATATCCAGTTTTACTGCAAATGTTTATTTTTTTATTTATTTACATGTGTAAGCCACCCATCTCACTACTGAATGACTCTGTTCTTGTTCATGTTACTGCCTTCTCTCCCAAATCAAACAACACTACAATCTGCATTGCTCGAATGCCCTTGATTTCTATGAAATTCAGCATGTTTCTTGCACTTAAATTGTTCTAATGTTCTGATAAAACCAGAAAGGTTATAGACATTTCTTTGTTCCCCCCCCCCATGTTTGGTATTAAACATGAGTTGGGACGAAATATTTCTGGACTAATACAAAAATAGGATCAACATATTGTCCCATTTTCCAAGCGAAGTATGTGGCCTCAGGGTACACAGGCTGACTTAGTTCAACTTTAATATGAGTCTAGCTATACAACCTTTTATTTAGTAACCGTTCAAAGTTACAATGGCACTGAAAAAAGGTAACTCATGACTGTTTTTCACACTTATAATCATTGCAGCATCCCCATGGTCATTTGATCAAAATTCGGAGGCTTCGCAATTTGCATATAATGATGATGGTTGCAGTTTCACAGGGTCATGTGATCACCTTTTGTGACCTTCTGACAAGCAAAGTCAATGGGAAGTCATATTCATTTAACAACTCTGTTACTGACTTAATTGTGGAGATACACTTAACAACTGGGGCAAGAAAGGTCATAAAATGGGGCAAAATTCACTTAAGAACTATCTCGCTTAACCATGGAAATTTGGGGCTCAGTAGTGGTTGCAAGTTGAGGACTACCTGTATAACCTATTGACATCCCTGGAGATGGCCTTGAGGGAAATATTCAAAGGAAAAAAAGGGGCCTTCTTTCAGCCTCAGGAAAGAGGGTGGTATGAGGAAGATACAGGGGTGTAAGAGAGAAGGAAAGAAGGACACAGTCAGTCTTTCAAGATTCTTGTATAATATAGTGCAGTGTTTCCCAAACTCGACAATTTTAAGGCATGTGGACTTCAACTCCCAGAATTCTGGGAGTTGAAGTCCTCATGCCTTAAAATTGTCGAGTTTGGGAAACACTGATATAGTGGCTTATTTCTATAAACCTTTGCTCTATTCCTGTGGTGGACTCCGTTTCCTGAGCAGGACAACCTTGAAGGGCTGATGTAACTAGAGCTAAAATGCATCTGACAAAGTATTAGGTAACATTTAGGGTGGTGCCCAAAGGCCAAACAGGGGATTCAACTATTCTTATATGCCATTTTTTCCAAGAGAGAGCTTTTCAAACTTTAAAACTATGTCTTTGAAGTATGAACTATAGTTTTGTTGATGACCATTGTACCTTAATCAGAAAAATACTCTCCCATTTCACAGCAGATGGGCACATAGACTGGAAAAGGGGCACTTTTCTTCAATAGATTCATTGAATCTCATTAAAATGATGTTAAAATGATTCTGTCTTTGTTTTCTGTTGTTAGTAGGTATTTCATAAATATCTGGCTGGTGGGTTTGGAAACAGTGTGCCAGTTTAAAAGGCATATACAAAATTCGATCCAACAGCATTTTCTGGTGTTCTCAGAAATCTTACTAGATTTAATGGGCTTATTAGGCCCAGCAATTTTTTTTCAAACAAATATTTTATTTATTTAGAAGGGGTTAAATGGGATGTTAGTATAAGAAAGGAGCAAATCTGATGCCAATTAACTTTTTTTTAAAAGTAGCAAAGCTAATTTTTACCTATTTACCACAAACTACTGTGTAATCCTACAGAAACATAATGTAAATTGTGAAAGAACTGAAGCAGATGTTGATTAATGACCCAAAGTTGTTCTCTGCATAGAAATGAAGGTTTTATAGAAATAACGATTTCTGTTTTATTTTGTTTTGCTTTTAAGAATTTTTATTAAATGAGTGCTGTTTTCAAAATAATAGGTGCTGTTGGAATGTTGAAACATACATAATTATGCCTTTATATTATTTTTATGTTTTGTTTTGAAAGTCTCTAATTGAGCACAGACCTGACATATAAACATATAAAACTCAAGAATAGCTATGTTTAATGCAATTTAATTAAAGTTAATTATTAAATAAGTTGCATAGTTGTTAAACATGACTATATTCTGATTTGATATGCATGGGTGTCATGTATCTATTCAGTTTAATAGGAGCTGCTGCTACATAATTAAAACCCAATCATCTGTGTTGATTTCTGTGACCATACTTGAAAGCAAATTCCTGCTTTTCCACAATAATTAGTTATTCTAATAATCAACCGTGACTTTGTTTTTCATTCTTTTTATTATTATTTTTATTCTGGAAGAAATAGTTACAGGGGGAGGTGATCTAGGGCAATTAAATTTTTTAGCAAGGAATGTAGTTCCTACTTTTTTTTAATGGAGGGAAAAGGGAGAATTAGCACGAAAATAACCTTAATTAGTCAGCAGTTTAACTCCTTAATAATTCCATTCTTTGATTAAATCAGATCAGCCAATGTAAGAGTATTTACATTCAAACATGATACCTTATTTTAGAAATCAAATCTACATTTTCCCAACCTTCACTGAATGATCCATTGGCCTTTATAGCAGGTCAATATTGTGGACCAGCTCGTCGGATTTTAAAATAGATAAAAGGTTGATACTTATGAGACTTTCTTTTCTTAATTGTTTGTTTGGGAAACATCATGTAAATTATGTATTTCTTTGAGCTGAAAATATTCCTTACAAAAGGATAATTGTATAGTGCACAACCAAATGAACTTTTTGGCTTATCGTTGTTCTTAAGTATTTTGGGGTTTTTTACAGGTGGTTTTTAATGGCAGATCTGAATGCAAATTCGTTTTCCTTTTCTTTTCAGAAATGGCTTTATTTAAAAAAAAATGATGATGACTGTATTCCAATTTGCAAATAATTCAGTAAGAATGAATTAGGTACGTTCGCATTAATATGTGAACCAAATAACACCCGTACTTCTACCTCAGCTCTGTTGTAAATCATCATTTTTTTAATAGCCTGAAATTGTTTGTGAATTGATGAACCAAATCCTTACTAAAGAAACTTGAATATAAGTAAGTCATAAAGTTACAACTGACATCA